AAAGAGCTCTCTAGAGATAGGAAAAAATCCATCGATAAGGACCACCATGGTCTTCTCACCAGTGACTAAAGAGTCAAGTCCCTGTCTCATTATCTCTCGAGAAAAGAATATTTTGACAATTAAATTGGCTGGAACAGCGAAGCTGAAAAGTGGAGGAAGTGGAGAACAGAATGTTCAGAGTAGAAGAAACAAAAAGAGGTAGCCTGAGATAGGAGGATTTCGGTTTCCATTCAAAACTATTTCGAGCGAAACTTAGCCAATGTATTCATTTTCGGCGCGTTCAGTTATTTTACGCCTGTTGATCAATCAATAAATCCTCAAGCAGGTTCGAGTTAAGGCTTCTGTAAATAGCGTCGAGTGATAATTTTAAAGTCTAGGAATGAAATACTTGCGCTGTGTGGAATTATAAAATAATAGTAAAACAGTGATACAAAACAGTACCTAAATTTAAATCAAGTGGAGATACATGTACCGCGCGGAAGCATGGAGGCAAGAGTTAGTAAAGCAAAAAGGCACTTAGAAGGGTGGGGAGAGAATATGCTTGCGTGTGACTTTCACTCGGCATAAGAACTGCTAGTTCACATGTTTAGCTGTTGCGTGTGTTGCCCAAGATAAAACAAACCAACTCCACTTATGTACAACAAACTTTTAAGATTAAGCTGCATAAGCCACTGATTATGTTAACCTATCAAAATAAAGCTCATACAGAGTCTATTCTTTTTTAAAATCACGCACCTCCCAAACACTTTCAATTAAGCTTCGCGATTGGCGGAGACCATACTGAAGACACTCTTCCACTGAAACCTGTCCGCCATCTCATTGAAAACAAGTCTGTCTGCAGCTGCACACTGAGTGAGCATCAAAATGATCAAGGTCGCGGTAACTTACACGATTGACAGAAATCTCGCTTGTCAATTACCACAATGATGTATTTTATCAGGCGCTCCCCCTACAAAACCGTCGGCTACGAACACTAGTTAGTATTTTCAATGAAAAATGGCCTATTTATTTGAAAAATTTCGAGTTAGCACTACGATAGCGTCTAGTTTTTCTGAAAATCACGCTCTTATTTAACACCTTCGCCATTGGTCGTGGCCATTCTGGAGACTCACTGAAGGTCAGCCAATCTTCCTTAAACCTGTCCACCATCTGATGAGAACATGTTTGTCTACCGAGGTCAAGCAGTATAAAATTAGAAGTATTCTCAGAAATCTTGCATGTCAAATACGCCTTTAGGCATCGCATCTGATTCGTTAATATTTATAGCATTTCATTCGCAAGACAACAACTGTTTTATTAGGGGTCTTTAATACGTGTAGCAAAATCCTTCCTTTCAAGTCGCTAAACATGGATATCAAAACCTTACTTGACAATCTTCATGAAGAAGTTTCCTGTCCGGTGTGCATGACCACATTTACTCAACCAAAGCAGCTGCCATGTTTACACAGCTTCTGCCTTCACTGTTTAGCAGGAATTCAAAGAAACAGTGGCCACCATGATGTCATAACATGTCCTGAGTGTCGCAAGGAGAGTCAAGTCCCTGGTGGAAACCTTAAAGATATGCCCACTAACTTTCGCATCAACAGTTTACTAGATGTGCTGGCCATAAGGGAGTGCAGTTCTACCGGAGTCAAGTGCAGAAACTGCGACAAAAGAAGAGTGCAAAGTTTCTACTGTTTTCAGTGTTGTGCATTCTGGTGTGAAGAGTGTATCACTGTGCATAACTTACTCCGAGAAAACGAAGAACACCGAGTACTTGCACTGGAAGATTTTGAAGATCAAGACGTTGAGGATGTCTTGAAGCGATCAGCATTTTGTTCACGACAAGGCCACGAAAAGGAAAAGTTGAAATTCTTCTGTGTCAAATGTGAAGAGACTGTTTGTTCTTCATGTGTTGTAACCGCTCACCATAGACATGTTATAGTACTATTAGAAGAAGCGGCCAATGAAAAGAAATTGCTAGTCATGTCCACGATTGAATCCAACAAAGCAAAAGCACAAAGGATGAGAAACAAAATCTTGAAACTTGACGAGAGTTCTCGTAACATCGAAGCAAACGTTGCCAAAGTAAAAAGAAGCGCGCAACAGTTTGCAGAAATCATGATCGCAGTTAATGAAGCCAAGAAACAGGAAATCTTTGATGAAGCGCATCATGAGGCGCAACAATCCCTGGAACGTTTGCGAATACAAAGGATCGAAATGGAACAGAAAGTCAAAATGATCGAAACAGCAGTCACAAAATTTGAAACGCTTTTAAAGCGAAGCACCAGCGCAGAGCTTGCAGAGTTAGATAAGGCAATAAACACAATCATCCCGAAAGAAGTCGAGCTACTCGNTTTAGTTTTGCATCCGATTGGTTGAGTAGTGCGAGTTTCTTTGTACCAATCACAGAGAAGAGTAAAGCAAAATTAATACGATCCTGGATTACTTATGACACAATTGAAAACTGTCTTTTTCTCTTTCACCTTCTCGTTCTCACTAAACTACAACCATGTTCTCTGATTCTCATTAAGGTGTGGCCCATTACGACCTTCTTGACCAGCAAGTGAACATTGGCTCGTAGAGGCTGGTAGACGAACACAGTACCGAGTGGCCTGCCAAGAGCATTCTTAAGCGGGTAGATAGGTCTTTTATCAAATAATTTCTAAACCAGGTCACATCAATAACTCTAATCCGCCATCTTTGGGTAAACAAGTAAGAACACATCTCAGCAAAGTAAATCGCAAATACATATGGAATACGCTCACAACAGCAATAACAGTAGTAAATTATGTAAAGAAAAGGTTCTTGCTGCCGTCCACTCTGCGTGGTTTGTACAGCTCTTTCTTCCTAACGTCGCAGCATACGTGCCCCACTAATAACCTATGAATGTTTTTGTCTTCAGCGTCAACAACTGCGAGCATTACCCGTGTCTGAAGTTGCCTACTAATGGAAGGAGCAATCTAGTCGCTTCTGGGTCTACGGTCATGATCATAAAGTGTATGCTCCAGACTACCCCCAGAGGTGCTGCTGCGGCTGCAGTATTTTGTAGAGCTGCTCTCCGAATGAGCAATCAGTAACCGCGAATCATGTGATGCTTTCGGGACTTTGAAATTATAAAGGAGACGAAGTTTAGGGCATAGCCGCGTTTTACAAAAGGAACTGGCCATTATTTATCTCTGGGAAGGATTTTGGTTGTCTCGCGATAGAATTTACCCGATCCAATATTCTAATAATCACTCCTCCATTAGCAGTCAATTATCTCTAGTCCCCACTTTTGTATTCTGTTGGCAACGACTGATTCCCCCTCCCTTCCCCTTGAACACCTCGTACTACCCCCCTAAAAAAAATTAATATTAACTCATAGAGTTCTTCATAGTATATATGAAATACATAATCATGCTCTCCATTGCTATAGATGTAGATTTGTGAATTCTGCAGTTCAATTAACTGCTGTTTTCTCTTTGTTAAAGAAAGACAGCATATTACTCTAGGTCCTTTAGCTGCCATGCATATGTCTGGTGCAAATCCATCGCATCTCTAATTTGACAGTTTACCGTTATCAGTAGCTTATACAGATTTGCTTTGAATGTTTTTTGTAGTTAAGTAGAAGTGAAAGCTACATTCATCTTAGGCAACATCCGTAATAGTAAAACGTGCGAAGTAATCTTGTCCTGGAGCCGAGTGGAAGTAACGCGCAGGCACATCCTCTCCCCACCCCGCTCAGAGCTTTTTTGCGACACCACACCTCGCTTAATGCTCCCCGCGGCTCAGGTATCTCCCTTTAAATGAATTTTAGATAGTGTTTATTAGGTTTCCATCACTATGTTACCTATATTACATAATTCCACACTGCCGTAAAAACTTTGCTAAGTGTTTTATTCATAGACTTTAAAACAGATCATTAGACGCTATTGAAATGTCGACTCGAGCTTGCTTGGGGATTTTTTGTGTAATAAATAGGCGTAAAATGACCGATCATCAAAATGAAAAGATTGGTAAAATTTTCTTCGGAATAATGGCGAAGGTCAGTAGCATTGCGTAAAGGTTCATTATTCAGGAACTCACAACGACGCAACTAATTACGTAACGCCGCACAACGGTGCTTTTATGACAAAACAAACCATGTGGTTCGTAGGTTTGAAATCACCGCAATATCAAAGTGTGGGATTTATAATACGACAAATTCTCAAAATACTAAGCATCCCTGTAAATCCCTCTGTCCTCTATCCACCATCATTCGGTTAACGGGCCTAGTTGGTAGTTCTTCATGACCCTCAATGAAAATGAAGGTGGCGGAGCCGCCAATTGGAGCTGCAGAGCTTGGGTTTCAAAGTTTCAAACCTCGCAACTCATTTGCTTAACGTTCTAAAAAGCATATAAACTTGCCAGCTTCGTAGGTTGTCAATCACTTTTTGAGGTTTAGCATTAGCGTGTTGCGTTACAAACTCTCAAGGGTGCGCTGAAAGAACTTCCGGTTGGCTTGGATCTCTCAGGGGTGAAACACTACTTCCAGCCTGTAAATTCAGCTATTTATTCAGATTCCATATTTTAGCCGGTGGCTGAGCATCCTCTCTTAGTAAACTGCCCGTAAATCAGTCACAAAGTTTCGAATCACTCTTCTTTTTTTTATCAAACACTTATTCCACAGCGAAGTTTAAAAACAATCACAACTATTTTATTGACATATTTTTACATTTTGATTATTTACAATTTTATATTGCATACTTCTATATGCAATAAAAATATTTTACTAAATTAAATATCAAAAATCAGTCCATTCACTCTGCTCGTTTAACTCAGGAACAGGTTCCTTGCTCAGCATGGTGGAAATATTCCA